CATTGTCAGTATCAATTACTACAACATTTTTATAATCAATCTGGTACTCGTTTAGTGCTTTGACTACAGCCCGTGAAACAGCTGAGTGATTAACAGTTATCTAAAAACACCAAAAAAAGAGTTAACATTCCCGGCAATCAGGTTCTTCTAATGGTGCAAACAATACATTCAGTATTGATTTTGCCTCATCATCACAATGTTAATCAAAGATAACAGGGATTTTCTTGTCTTTAAGCTTGTTTTAAGTTTTCCTTTTCTTTGTGGTACACTTCAGGTAAGTATGTTGTTAGAGAATGAGCAGGGGGACCCAGAAGCTAATTGAGTAGACAGGCTTCTTTATTGCGGTACTTGTTCCCCTTGACCCAATTGTCGAGTAAGCACTGAATTAGTTACAGCACACTTCTTTTATTTAAGTTAGTATGTAAATACCTACATTCACTACAACACCCCCAAAACCCTTATTTAGTAATATGAATGTCCATACCATAAATATTAACAGCTATATACTGATCATAATTATTTCAGCCCCTGATTACTATTTACAACATTAGTATATTCTACAGATAGTTTTTACTTTACAGACACATTTCTTTGTAATAATTGCAGCCACAAATTCCCTTGATCAGCTGACCACAAGGAAGGGAGGAACGGGCCATGACCCCAAGCTCGTTTATGTGGCTGGGAAAGGAAGGGAGGGGGAGCAATCACCGCTTCACATAAACAGTATTTTTAGATCCCCACATTCCTGCAATGCTTATCACTCCTTAAGCAGAAGGGAAGGGAGAGGGATAGCACTTTATCTATCAAAGAGACAGTGCCTGCCCCTGCCTTCCTCCCCAATACAATGCTAGTGGTTACCCAGGTTTTAATTAACCCTTACATACCCCAACACTCCCCCACTCTCTTCAAAGAAGGGCCCAGGTGCCCCTCCTTCCCGCACACTGGATGGCGGGGCACTTGAGCTGGAAGCCCTGGCTCCGATTAGCTCAATACCTTGGTCCACCAGTCATGCTAGGGGGAGAGAGCAAAGGTAGGTTATAAAAGGCATAAGCCGCTGAATTTACAAGTATGGATTTTGGGGCGAGGCTAAGGCAGCATATAATTTTAAGCACCCCATTAATATGTTTAATAATACAGTTAGTATGAATAGCACCCCTATAACGTGAGTAATATGACCAAGAAGCAAATGAGGGTCCATTAGGCCTGTCCAAAGGGCACAGACTACATCAGTCCAAGTACAATCAATCAGCAGTTCAGTAGCTAGTTGGAAGGCATTCATTCCTTGAAGGGCCCTGGTTTCCAAGACACGCATTTGGCGTTGCTTGGCCTGGAGCTGCCACTACTGTGTCCATATCATGAATATTTACAGAGAAACGGGGCACTGTCCAAACCAGCTTGAAAACTTGGTATGGAATTGGGTAATGCACTGGTTCAATTTGTCCACAGCAATGAGTTCCACAGATCCATTCATGCACCAAAGTTCCAATGGCAGCATGTAATTGTGCCAGATGCTGGTGCACTTGTACTCCCAAGTGTTCTATTACAGAATTCTCAAAAAGAAAAGGAGTACTTGTGGCACCTTAGAGACTAACCAATTTATTTGAGCATAAGCTTTCGTGAGCTACAGCTCACTTCATCGGATGCATACTGTGGAAACTGCAGAAGACATTATATACACAGAGACCATGAAACAATACCTCCTCCCATCCCACTCTCCTGCTGGTAATAGCTTATCTAAAGTGATCACTCTCCTTACATTGTAACAATCCAACTATTACATTGTAAGGAGAGTGATCACTTTAGATAAGCTATTACCAGCAGGAGAGTGGGATGGGAGGAGGTATTGTTTCATGGTCTCTGTGTATATAATGTCTTCTGCAGTTTCCACAGTATGCATCCGATGAAGTGAGCTGTAGCTCACGAAAGCTTATGCTCAAATAAATTGGTTAGTCTCTAAGGTGCCACAAGTACTCATTTTCTTTTTGTGAATACAGACTAACACGGCTGTTACTCTGAAACCTGTCATATTACAGAATTGTGCACACTCCCAGCAGAACACTCCATATCCCATATACATTACACCCAATTGTTCACTCCTGGCACAGGGCACTGGGCCTGCTTCTTTATGGCCATTGGAGAGGGGCACATTTAGATATTTTGACAAATAATTACTTAACTGAATTATTGTTTATTTTACATCATTTGATCTTTTTAGTGGTTCCCAGTGAGCTCTTCCCTTTCTTATTATTTCCATAGGGCTCATGGGGACCACCTTAGTTGCAGTCTTATTTCAAGGTTCCACTGCAACTATTACCCAGGTGCTAGCCCCACTAGTTGAGCATTTTGCATTCCCATACACATTTCCCCCCCCACCCCCAAATTTCATGCACTTAACCCTGTGGTTCCTACTGCTCATAGATTCCTTCTGCAGCAACAATTCTATGTGTATACCCTCACCCACCAATTAAATTGTTGCTTTAACCCTTTTATGTATGTGCTGCAGTTAGAGTGTACCCTGTCCACCCACCATTCTTTGGCGTGTACCACCAATTTATATAATGGACTAAAAGGACACACTGACGAGCTTTTGGTGCACCCGCTCCCACACGTTCGCCCATAAGGACGTATTTTCAGCTCCAGGCTGCAGCCAGCTTAAATCAGGATCCTTCCATCTTGGCATCCATATTACCTGTAGGGTTACATTCTGCAAAGCGGTTAAATTGTTATATTCCTTGTGTCCCAGGGGAGACTTCTTGCCCAGTCTGGTATGTACATAACTGCAAGCTTAAGGATTGTCCTCTGTGGAGGTACCATTATGATTACACATTGTAACACCACACCCCAACAGCAGAACCCCATAACCCAAACACCCCAGGAGGCCAGAGAATTATATTTTTGGGCCCTTTGTGATAAACCACCTGTCTAGATGACTGTTTCCTACTGTCATTCATTATGACATATTCTAAAGAATACCATGCAATATTTCCAGATACATTTAGTATTCTTCACTGGGTTAGGATTCCCCCCTCCAATTCATACACCACTTACTGACATTGCTTAATTCCCATAGGGGGTGGGGGTGGGGCTAGTAGTACAGTTTTTTACGGGGAAATCCTTAGAGTCCCCATCTGCCTCATTACCACCACTTGGGGGTGTAACAGTTCACGTGTTTCCTTCCGTTGCCACTTCACATCGCTGGATTTGGGTAGGGCTTACAATAGCAAGAATAGCAGCAATGATTGTTTTATTCCAAGTCAGGGTGGATTTTGTTTTTCCTTTGTGGGTCCACCTGTAAGATGCATGCAACAGAATTGATTTATTCCTATTTTTAACCCCCACTCTGTGTAGTCTCAACTCCATATAGTCCTTGAGAGGGTGACAGCCCTTCTCGAGGGTTGCACTCGCTCTCTGCGGTTAGGCCCTTTGGCCCTGCTGCCTCCTGGGACCACATCTCTGAGCCCTCAGCATGCCTTTCTCTCTCTCTCTGAGCCCCCCTCAGGGAGTCCACTCGTTCTGGACCCCCAGGGCCTCCACACCCAGAGGGAATAATGAAACCCCAATCTCTAGCCTGCAGTGACTCTCAGCCAGGGTCAAACAGAAGGGTTTATTGTACATCTGAACACAACACAGGAAGTTCTCAGGACCCTTGGTCCTCAAAAGTCTTAGCACCATCCATCTGGGTCTATACCGCATCCAGATGCCTCAGGCTGCTCTTTATCCCCACTCCAGAAGCGATCTCCTTCCAGTTGACCACCCAGTATCACCTTCCAGAAAGCCCCTCCTCCATTGTTTGTCTTTATTCCTGGGCAAACAGATCACCTTTGTTACCAATGGCCAGAACCAGCTGGCTCCCAGGCTGGGGTGGGCCTCTGGGTCACTGGTTGCTAAGTTCCACAGTATCCAGGTCATTTTCTGGGGGCCAGGCTACTAGGCGAGATCATGCCTGGTCCTCTGCAACAACAAACACGCTCTCCCGCCACCTCGTTAAACATGCAGCACATACGGTATTCATGCAAAACACAAAGAAAATCCCCCACTTCGTCACACCTAAAATTGACCATTTAAATATTAAGAGTCTAATAAGAGGGGGTTGGACTAGATGACCTTCTGGGGTCCCTTCCAACCCTTATATTCTATGATTCTATGATTCTAAGAGAATTTGGCACATTTGCTTTAGGTTGTTTGCAAATTCAAGAAGGCAGCTGTGTCCATTTATATTCATGTTACTGTATGTTAATTTCTACAACCATGATGGCTAAAAAAAATAGTATTTCATTTCAAACAAAATTGTACAATTAGGAACCACTGAATGTTCCCCACAACACACAGTTTTTTAACAGTTGTAACTTCTCTTCTTCTCCCTCACCCACTATTAAGGACAGATTGCACAAAGAAGAACTTCTCTGATAGATAGCAGTACAATAAGCTGTAACAATCTGCTCACTTACATGTTTTTAACAGTATAATAAAAGAAGGAAAGGGTTTGTTCTTTGCATAAAACACAAGCTTGGTGTTCTTTGGACAGAGTTAAAAAAATAAACAACACTGCTCCCTGTCAAATGCAGCATTTAATATCACTGTGCCCAAACCAAAACTCTGGATTCAAATGCACCGTGAACTGTGAGGCAGTTTGTATCAAAAATCTCTGGCTTCGAGTCCTCTCTTTTATCAACAATTCTGTAAGCATACACAATCTCTTTCCGGTGCTGTTCAGGCAGATAAGGCTCTGCAAATATGAACTGTATATCTGAAACAAACTGGGTGTGAAAAATCTACAAGAATAAATGTGTGAAGATTTTTCTCAGTGAAAACAGTTTCAGCTTAGCAGTGGAACATTTCACAAATGAAGTTTAAAGATCAGACACACAGAACACAATGACCCAACTTTTCCTTTGTCCCTGAGAAATGACAGAGGCTGGAGAAAACTGATGCACCTACCAAATATATTTCCAACTGTATAAAAAGAAAATCCACAACAAACATATCAGTAAAGGCTGGTCTTCTTCATGATCCTCAGGAATTCCTGCTCATTCACTTCCCCATCTCCATCTCGATCTGCTTCATCAATCATTTCCTGTATGATGTTAAGGATTCAGAGACCAAATTAGATGGGTCCATTAAGGTATATCAGGGAAGGGAGGGAAATGGAATGGAAAGGACACAGGATTTTATTACAGCACATTTCACATTCAATCTATTCAAAAGCAGTTGTTATGCTGCTATACACACTGTGTGGTACAGGAACTATCCTGGAAGAAAACAACAGATCCTGCTGTATTGTATCTTTGTAACTCCAGAGTACTGCAATTTCACTGAAGTCATTGGAGTTACTCGGGATGTACAAAAGGATAATGATAGGGGGAGGGATAGCTCAGCGGTTTGAGCATTGGCTTGCTAAACCCAGGTTGTGAGCTCAATCCTTGAGGGGCCATTTAGGGATCTGGGGCAAAAATTGGGGATTGGTCCTGCTTTTAGCAGGGGGTTGGACTAGATGACCTCCTGAGGTTCCTTCCAACCCTGATATTCTATGATTCTAAGTAGGATCCACCCGGCCATATATGCTCAACGCAGTCTTGGCCTTTAGACCCTATTTCAGACACAGATTGTCATAAACTCTTTAACTTTATTTTTTGTAGTAGTGCACGTGGAAAGGACTTTGATTTAAGATGCTGAAGGATAGCACAACATTCACTTAAGTAACACATAACAGTGTCTGCACTGAGCAAGAATCCCCATTGTGGTGTGGATCTTTAACTTGCAATCTTTAGTCCCAGAGTACTGCCATTTGAGCCAGAATGACACCAGGAGAGTAAAGGAAACAGGAGGGAGTGGGAAAGAAAAGGGCAGTGGGAAATGGAGATAATTTAAGTAAAACTCAGCACTTTCTGTTGTTACAAATATAATTTACAAATTTACCTGCTTGCATCCAGGGCAAGAGTGGGTTTAAACAACCTTTCCATCCCATCCCTGATCCTGGTGCTTGTGGTGTGCCCCTTCCATGTAAGACAGAGCAGCCACAGGATTGTGCTGGCTGAGAATAGCCCCCAAGGAGCCATAACACCAACCAGGGTTTGCAGGCACACAGCAACACTCTGGACACATTTCCTTGCCCTCCCATCTCCCTGCCTTGAAGACTGAGAGGGTTTTAACACAGATCCAGTTATTCCACCAAGGAATTTCCCCACACAAGGGAAATCCTCAAGTACTTGGTTAGGGCAGTCTTATGGACCTTTTGCACTACAACAGCAATGCAAAGGGGATATGTCAGGGACTGGGGATCCGGTCTATGGAGTGCGAAAGAACAAAAGATCTCTTGGGTCACCGATGTTGTTAGATGTTCGGCTGTGTGTATGTGTTTTTCCTGTGTGCTGTCCCAGCTTTGCGCAGACTTGGGCAAACTGCCCAATGACACAAGATCGGTTTAGGAACGAAGACACACAGCTAGGGTTATTGTAGATGAAGCACGGTAATAGCACCTGGCAGACTCTGAGGATACTAAAACATGTATGCCCAGGACAATGGATGCAGCTTAGTTAGTGGCAGGACTTTTCACTGCCCCCTAGGCTGGCCAAAGACACTTCCTCGGAGACTTTATTTTATACATTAATATAAACAAGTTACGTACTGCCCTTCTGACATGGTTAGTTAACACCCTCTGACGTAGCTGGTTACCACCCACCATCTTATACATTTTTATTCATTACACTGTTATTCTGACCTTATTTTTAGGAGGGGTCTATGTGTCCCTGTTATCTTTGGGGAATATTTATATACCATCCTTAATACTGAAATACTCTGATACCACTCTTCTAAAACGAGTTTGCTTAAGTACTTTGTGCCTAGCACGTCTTACAAATGTGTGTTTTTTTTCAATATTAGCCCTGTTCTTGCCAAATTCAGTAAATTTGCAAGCAGGCAAAGTCTAACGTTTGCTCACAGCCTAACTTTGCTTCAGCAAAGCTTGTCCACTACTTTAGCTCAGGCCTCATACCAGCCCTCTAAGACAAGGGCTTATATTTTAGGCTCTTTGTACTGCAATGTACACCCATCTCTTTAAAAAGAGCATATTCAAGGCCCCATGTACTGTGTGGCAAACTAAACCAGAACTCTGTTGTAAAACTTCTGGATTCTGTGGCACTCTAGTGTAGCAGACTGGTAATTCCGCAGCAGTTTCACCTAAGTTAAAAAATGAATGTTAATGAATTAAATCTGAAATGAAATAATACAATCAGTGACTACTATGTATACAACATACGTAGGCAAAATCATACAAGACACAAACCTGTAGCTCCTCATCTGTGAGATTTTCCCCAAGTTCCTTGGCCACACGTTTAAGGTTTTTGAAAGAGATTTTTCCAGTTTCATCATCATCAAACAGTTTGAAGGCTTTTAGAATCTCCTCTTTGGAATCTTTTTCAGCCTTAAAGAAGTAAGCAACATACCAGTTCATAGCCAAAAACTTTGTTAACTTGTAGTTAAATCTAAGAGTACATATCAGTAACTTAAGTGTAAAAGTTGTACTTATCAAAACAAATATTAGAAACACAGGAAACTAAACTAAGATTCAATATAAAAGAAACCCAATTATTAGAAATTATGCAAACAGTGAGTGAAAGCACTCAGCGAGCCTTAATTTTGCCAATGTAATGATGTTTTCTGAATGTCACTTTTATGTTCCTGTCATGTCTAGGACCAGATCTTTGCATGATTAAAGTTTTGCAGCATCAACACTGTCAAATATGTTATTTTGTTATCAATGAGTTTTTCTAAGAATTTTTAGGTACAGTACACAGATCATGGACGTAGATATCTTAAATTTGGAAAAACACTGTACTGGCATAGTGACTATCACTGTCATCCTCACAACTTACCAAAACTTAGCACAGCTTCTCTTCTTGGTGGCCAATGTTGTTTTTCCTCTTTGGTGTGGTTTTGATTATATTAATTTCTCTCCACTCCCTTCTTTGTAAGCAATCTTATCCAAGAGAAAGATCTTAAAGACACCACCAACTATGATGGGATGGTTCCTGTTTGCAACCATAAATTTTGCACATGTGGTTGCTAAGATTAGGTAGGGAAGTTTTGAGTCCTTTCAACTCCCACTGAAGTCAACAGGAATTGAAAGGCATTCAGCAACTTGCAAAATTGGTTTCATTGTGACTGTCCCAATTTACATACCATCTTCTGAGTCATCACCACCAGAAAGTCATGGAAGCTGATCTTTCCTGTTCCTTCCTTATCAATGTCTGATATCATTTTCTTGATCTCTTCTTTTTTGGGTTCAAACCCTAGTGCTCTCATGGCCACCTGCAAACAATGAAAAGAGATTAGCTCCTCAGTGGGCAATGGAAATACAAGTATGGAAGAAAAAAAGTTAAACTATGCCATGCTGTGGTTAAATTAGGTATTTTTTTCTCAAGGCAAACAGCAAGGTCAAAGAGCAGGTGATGGAAAAATGGTCTACTAATAACACTTAGCAACCTGGAGAGAGCTGAATGTCTTAACAGCAACCCTTGTATAAGGCTTGTATAAGGAGCTTTCTAGACATACTCTGGAGAATAATGCCTTCTCTAGTCAGTACTAGCAAGTAAGTGGAGTCAGTAAAGGGGGAAATTAATGGAAGAGAGAAGTTCTTGGTGCTCTGCAGACCCTCTTTCCCCTATAAGAAAAAAGCCCAACAGATGTAAGACTCATCATCCATGCTGCCTGAGAAATTGTACCCTCTGGTCCTGAGGTCTTTAACCTTATTCATCTGATCTTTCGCATTCCAAGTCATTTTCTGAGGTCTGGGTTTTCCCTCTTTCTGGTTACGACTCAGACACCCACTCAGAGGGTAAGTGTTCTAGTTAGGTGAAAGGTTTGGGAAAACAAATAGAACAGATCTAAAAGACCACCTTTTCTCCACGGAAAATCAAGGTACAGGAAAATGCAGAAAACGCTTGTATTCTACTGGTCAAAGGGTCACTACATTACTATTTGGACACTACATTCAGGATGAGGAAGCTCAGATATACTAGATATACAGAGTTCCTGGAGCCACTAGGGAGGTAACTGGAGGGCAAAGAAAGGTCACAGTCTTCAAGGAACGTGACCCCATGGGAGAAGATCCCATCATGCCTAGTACTGTACTGAACTCCAATCTACTGTGCTCAACTCAACCAGCACTTAAGCCCAGAGGGAGTTAGGGTCTATACCTTGACATAAACCTTCAGAAGAAGGTCTAAAACAGCTGGGATTCTGGTTCCTCTATAAATCTTCTTTAAAAAAGCTGAACAGTTGGTTTTGTCTATCATGTATATAGAAGTTACTTCTGCCCCTGCCACATTCCACTGACATAATGGAAATTTCTCTCTAAGGAGAGTAGAAAAAACACTTAGAATCCCCTCAGGAAAGAGTTTCCCCATCCCTCCTCACTCTGCTTTTCCATTCCCTAGTGAAGAGACAAATGGCAGACTTGAAGGTTGCCTTTCTGCATGGTCCTCTGAGCGAGGCAGGATTTAAACTGGAGAAGCAGAAGAGGGAGCTGTAGAAAGCAGGAAAATCCTAGACGGGGTTAATCATCATCCTCTCTAACAGAATGAGTGAGGTGGAGACACCAAATATCTGCTCTGTCACAAACAGTGACAAAGAAATTAATGACACTGGCATGTCCTTTAACTATGGCTTTCGGAATGGTATGATCCTAAGATGGCTTTCATAATGACCTAAAACCTTGGACCTTCTGCCAACACCTCCAAAGCTCATGACATCCTGGAACTACATTTCAGAGTGTGATTTTGTCAATCCAGCTCCAAAGAGCCCCATGGGAGAAGGGGACAGCACAAAGAGCGACAGATAGCAGTTGTGTGGGGATACAGTGACTTTATGTTGTAAAGGGATCAACCCTCCTCTGCCCCAGCTTAGATTAGTTTAAGTCTCTATACATCTAGGTCCTTTTTTTCTTTAACATCGAGTTTAATCTTGCCTTTAGCTCCTTAACATCTATGTTCCCAGTGCCATCGGTATCAAACAGATCAAAAGCCTCTCGGATCTCCTGCTTCTGGTCTTCAGTTAGTTCAAGTTTAGGACCGGTCTTCTTCTTCTGGGCTACCGCCCCTAATGTAGATTTCTTGAAGCTGGAAGCCTTGAAATATTAATAGAAGATCAGAGACTAGAATTAGATTCCCAAAGCAGGCAGACAAGACTTTCAGCATCAGGGGAGAACAATCCAGAATGAAACCAGAAACTTCCGTTCTCAGCAACCCTTGTGATTTCCAGTGAAGCCAGAAAACAATAGACAATGTGGCCACACAAAAATCTAACAAGCTGCCCTTTTAAAGGACAGAGATATGGCTTGTGAAGACAGAAGGTTCCAGCCTGAAGGTGTAACTTGCAGGGGTGATAGGTCCCTGCATATTATGCTCCATCTATATTTGTATATAAGTGCATTGAAACTGAGACAGTGAGACTGAGGCTGGTAATTTTTGCAGGCTACATGCAGAGCTGTCCCTAGGGTATGGTGAATTGGGGCAGCCGCCCCAGGCCCCACGCTTTGGGGGGCCCCTGTGGTGGCCACCCTGAATCGCCTTACCCTAGGGACAGCTCTGTGAGCATGTCGTGTGGGGGGTGCTAGGCCAGCCCAGAGGGGGAGTGGGGGGCCAGGCTGGCCCGGGGGGTTAGCGGGGGTGCCTGGCTCCAACAGCAGAGGTCAGGCCTGCACACACCATCGGGAAGTGGCAGCAGTAACCCCAGCCCCCCCCTGCCAGCTCCCAGTGTCACTCGGGGGGAAGGGGTGGAAGCCAGAAAGAGGCAGAGCAGGGGAAGGAAGAGGTGGGGGGGGCTTAAGGGAAAGGTTGGAGTGGGGGCAGGGGTGGTCCCAGGCCGCACACTCACCTAGGGACAGCCCTGGCTACATGGTTGGGATCAAGATGATACAGTGCACACCAGAATATCTTTGCAAGCCACACAGCCAGGACCAGCACCATGTAGCACACACTAGGGACTGTTGCCTATGTAGGCCATGCCACCTACATCAACTGGAGCAACTCATTGTGGCAGTATAGCCTAATGGATTAGCACTGACCTGGTCTCAGAAGACCTGGTTCTAATCCCAGCACTATTATTAGCCTGTAGGGTGACCATCAATAAGTAATGTCTCTGCTCTGTGCCTCAGTTTCCCCCATCTATAAAATGGGGATAATGCTACCGCCCTCCTTTGTAAAGTACTTTGAGATTGACTGATGACAAGTGCTCCAAAAGGGCTGGGTGGTGTTATTACGGCGGGGTGGGAGGAGGACCAGCACATGTGGGGGTCTGCACCCCCTTGGAAGCCCCCCTGCAGCACGGGCAAGGATGCAGCTAGGAACTCTGTACCTGCCACGCCAGCGCGGACCCAGCCCTTTGGACCTCAGGGCCCACTCCCGCAGAAGCTGTGTGGGGGCGGGGCTGCTAATTCCCTGTGACAGGCTTCGGGGCCTACTGCTTCAGCACCATCACTCCATCAAGTGGCCGGCCTAGCCCGCGCCCCTCCGTGTTGTGTCCCCCCGCCCCGTCCTCCAGACCGGACAGCTCTCGGACCCACTCACCATCCCTCAGGCCGGTGCTGCAGGAACAGCGCCTCGGGTCCGGACAGAAAAAAGGGGCGGGCACAGTATCAACGGCAACCTTCCCCATAGGCCAATAGTTCTACCTTGATGCCATAGCAACCATGTTTTTCATTATGCTTAGTGGGCGGATCCGGAAGAAGAGAGGGGTCTATTCCGCCTTCCGCCAAACCAGTGGCTGAAGAGGAGTATCCAGGAAACCAATCAGTGAGCGCGTTGGAGCTCGGCTGATTCTCGGCCGCGGGGCGGGGCGGGGCTGCGAGAAGAGGGGGAGGGCGGAGCTAACAGGAAATGCTGTCGCCGCTTGGAGCGGCTGAGGGGTGCACGTGTCCCTGGGCGGGGGGAAACTCGGTCTGGGGTGGGGCCGGTGAAGGCAGTGGCGGTGTCGGGATCCTGCCTGCTTCTTTTCGGGGCTGGTGCCAGGTAGGGGTGGGGAAGGGCTGTGGCAGGAGGTTGGGGGCACGGGGGAGCTGGGAGGGGGCTGGATTGGCGGGAACTGTGGGGAGAGGGCAGGGCTGGCGGGAGTGTGTCTGGATGCTCAGGGCCGTACGGGCCTGTGGGTGGGGAGCCCTGAAGCCTGGGGGTGGGGGGGACAGTGGGAGTCCCAGTATGGGTGTTGGGAGGGGTGGTATCCCCCTAGGCTTCGGCCCAGGGCAGGGACTCACCTCGGGGCTCTCTCCCATGTTGCCTTTGTGTGGCCAATTCTTGTGCTTTTATTAAAGCTCCAGCTGCTGGAACTGCTATACTGCATGAGAATCTGAGTTTTCATTTTTTTAAAGAAAGTGTCTAGCCCTCCGTGGTGAGGAAGCAAGTGCAATGTGAAGGCACAGAAATATTTTATTATGTAAAATAACTAGTGGATTTTAAGACAAACTAATTATTTTTCAGGGCCAGACTCTGTTTTTTGAAGACTGTGGACTAACAATACTACTCTTCCCTGCCAAAATCCCCCTGATAAAATCCTAACAGCCACTAACTTAACCTCAAATTTTTCCATAAGAGTCACCTTTGCTGTTATACTTACAAACCCCAGCCTGTTAATCATAGCTGGGATACTATTGGGATAGGGACAAGCTGTGATTCTTCCTCCCCAGTTTGAAAACAGTCAGGGTACATCCTATGTAACTAAGTAGGGCCAATTCCTCACCAGATTCATTTGCTTATGTTATAGTCTCATTCTTTTTGTCTTTAAATTGTAAGCAATTCAGGGTAGGGATTGTCTCTTTTCTCTGCACAGAGCACAGTGGGGCTCTAGTTCTAATTTGGGAGTTTGCCCTACCATCATTATTAGAAAATATTTTTGTATTATAGTGGTTCAATTCTGTCCTGGCTAAGGATAAATCATGTGGCAACTGGTTCCTCTGCCTCTGGATGTTGTGCAGATGAGCCTCAACAGATCTGCAGTAGATATTGATTGGCCCAGTGTGGCTTCCAGAGTGGTAGAACTGGTGGGGAGTTCTAGCCCGCAGCCCTGAAATGGTTATACAATAAACTCATACTTGGGAGGGGAGGCAAGATTGGGAACCAAAGAGGCTGGAGTGGCTACCATGGGTTGGGGGTCAGGCCAGAGAGAGGGACCTGCAGGGGCTGGAGTAGGCAGGGACTACTGGGAGCCTCCTTCCCAGACTAGAAACTCACTCCATTTCCTGGCTGAGTCTCAGTACTACCTCTCAATCCCCCACATTTTCAGGGAGCTTCTGCCCCACTCCCAGGCTGCTCTCTGGGAATTATATTGCACAGTCTGCTGATGTGTTTGCATTATAGTGTTCAATTCAGAGATGACATGGCAGTTTAAACTGTCTAAAATGAGAAGGATTTGCTGATTGAGGCATTTTCCCACAGATACACAATTATCTGAGATACATAACCTGTTTGGAGTTCTGTCATTGGCGGAGAATCTTTATACCAAATTGAATTTCAATAATTTATGTATTTTCTGGAGCTTAAAATAATAAGAGCTCAACTATGTTGGCGAGAAGTTTTATAAAAAATAGCCATTTTGTTTTTGTGGGACCTACACAAAAACAGTGTGTTCTCCCTATGAAGATGATGCCAGCGAGTAAAGTGTACAAGAATGATCCAAGTTACTCATCTGTTGTGGTAATGTTATATGGGAAAAATCTGTTTTTTCCAGTTTAAATGGCAGGTGTTTAAGTTCTTTGCACCACTCATTAATTGGTTAATTAAATGTGATATGTTAAAGTATTAACATCATTATTTATTTATTTATTTTATTTCTTTATTTTAGGAATTAGATTTACAGTGAATCCTCCAAGAAATGGCTACACAACTCAGACTAGTAAGTTTAAAGGAAATATTTTTCCAAGTTTGTTTTCTAAGCATCACTTATTTTTGTTGGAAGTTTATCCAGAAGAGGAAGAAAAATTGGTTATCTACCCTGTGATAAACACACAGCTAAGGGTAGCATAAAATCCCTCCTTTACCTGTAAAGGGTTAAGAAACTCAGGTAATTTGGTTGGCACCTGACCAAAGGGACCAATGAGAGGAGAAGATACTTTCAAAATCTGTGGGGGCAGGAGTTTGCTTTTGGTCTCTTTGTTGTTTGCTCGGGAGTCAGCGAGGAACCAGGACAGGGAAAATACATCTCCCTAAGCCATATCTGAACTAAGTATCTAATCTTACAGAAATAGTAAGTAATCACAAGAAAATGCATTAGATTATCTTTTGATTCAGCTTGTGAATTTTCCCTGTGCTAAGAGGAAGGTTTATCCCTGTTTTTGTAACCTTAAAGTTTTGCTTAGAGGGGAAACCCTCTGTGTTTTGAATCTGATTGCCCTGTGAGATTATTTTCCATTCTAATTTTTACAGAGGTGTTTCTTTTACTTTTCTTTTTAATAAAGTTCTGTTTTCTTTAAGAATCTGATTGGGGTTTTTAGTTTCCCTAAAAACCCAAGGTTGGTCTGTGCTCATCTTGTTTATTCTCAAGCCTCCCCAGGAAAGGGGGTGTGGGGCTTGGGGAGGATATTAGGGGGGAGATAGGGGTCCAAGTGGCCCTCCCTAAATGTTTATTTGAATCACTTGGTGGTGGCAGCTGAATCCAAAGTACAAGGGAGAATTTGTGCCTTGGGGAGTTTTTACCCTAAGCTGGTAAAAATAAGCTTAGGGGGTCTTTCTTGCGGGTCCCCACATCTGTACCCTAATGTTAGGATATAGATATTCAGGCCTGTCTGTAAAGGCCTATACTCTAAGAATTTAGATGTATTCTTATCACTTGGCTAGATAGAGGTATAGAAGAATCAAAATCACTGTCTGCCAGTGTAAGGTCCTTTTCTTACTGTGACAGTCTGAGGCTCTGTGCTTAGGCTACAGCCTTAGGCTAAGCAACAGAGGCAGCCATAAGCTGGGCGGCGAACGGTCACGTCCTCACATTCCAACCTAGTCACATTGAAATAAGGTGCTATTGGGCTGTTAGGCATTATCAGGACAGGATTGTATTCCTATCGCTGCCATAGAAAGGGAAGTGCCTAGAAGATGTAAAAGGAAACTTAGTTTGATAGCATCCTGTCTGGCAAGAACTCACTTATCAATAGCTGGGATGTGAAATCCTCACTTCTGTATTGTTTTGTCATTCTAGTTCCCACTTTGCTATTGTTTGTCTGTATAATCTCTGTCTGGTTCTGTGATCGTTCCTGTCTGCTGTATAATTAATTTTGCTGGGTGTAAACTAATTAAGGTGGTGGGATATAATTGGTTAAATAATCATGTTACAATATGTTAGGATTGGTTAGTTAAATTTCAGTAAAATGATTGGCTAAGATATAGCTAAGCAGAACTCAAGTTTTACTACATGGTCTGCAGTCTATCAGGAAGTGGGTGAGTGGGGGAAATTGGAATTATGTTTGGCTAAGGGCAGGAATGGGAACAGGGACACAGGTGTAAGGCTCTGTGGTGTCAGAGCTGGGAAGGGGGACACTAAGGAAGGAAACTGGAGTCATGCTTGCTGGAAGTTCACCCCAATAAACATCGAATTGTTTGCACCTTTGGACTTTGGGTATTGCTCTCTGTTCAAGCGAGAAGGACCAGAGAAGTAAGTGGGTGAAGGAATAAGCCCCATAACACCTAAAGTTCAGAGTGGGGAGGAAACCCTGACATAGCCAGTGAAGTCAGGGACTGTCGTCCAGGACACTGGAATACTCACTCCTGGTATTACTAGTGGGAACGGAACCTGGAGTTGTTGGGATCTATTTATAACATGATTGCTACTGATGCAGTTTTAAAAAGATTCAGGGATGTGTCTAACACACATTTAGGCTTCATCTACACTACAAAATCCACAGGTCTGGAGATTCAATTACAATAGGGCTGTACCTTGATACCGTGCAGATGGGTAGTCTGACTATTTTTTTGTTTTTTATTTTAAACCATGTCCCCGGAACTTGCTAGAGCCATTGTTATCCTGTCACTCTGATGTTTAGAGTGCTTGCAGGGAGTTAGAATGGGGAAAGAATAAAATCTAATTTAGTTCATGTAACTTTTTGGGCGTAGGTAAATTGTACTCGTCAAGTGTGAGCTCTGTTATTGCACAACAACTGTTTATTGTTTTCAGAGGAAATTCTGGCATATTTATCCTCCTGATTCTTTTTATATCATTATTTTTTTAAGCTTTCTTGTGATAAGGACAAGTGAAACTGAGAGATAAGAAAATAAGCGTGAATGAAATAAAATGTTGAGCATGCTTCACAGTGGCAGTTGTAATGCTGTGTTTTACTGGGCTATGGGTAAGATTAGTACACACGCAAGTTGGGACTTTCTAATCTATGCTATGGCATCAGATGGCTCCCTCGCTCCTCATAATTATGACATCTCTGCTTGCTGCAGTGCTTTACACAACCCGTTCAGAGACCCTTCAGAATAAGCACTGAACCTTGATATAACTGAACAAGTCCAGTAGACTTTTCTCATCTCCGTTCTGGAAAACTGGTACTCTGCAATGGGATCCATCGAAAGACACAGCACTTAGAACCCATTGAAGAGTCACTTGCCTTGGGCAGTTTCAATGGGATAATTTTCCCCTTGAACTCTGTAGAAGATTTGCTGAGGCGAGTTTTTGTGTAGTAACAATAGGAGCAAATCTATTTGCAAGCAGGACAGAGGGTTCGCTGTACGAAGCTCTTCTGCAAAACCTCAGTTGCTCGCTCTGTGCTGGTGTTGAGCCCATAGGTCACTGGTCTTATTTCAGGCAGGTGAGTACCCAGACCAGAGTGCCTGATACTGACTCTGACCAATATCTCCATAGAAAAAAAGGCTAAGGATTAATTAAAAGGATAAGCTGTATCTGCTTGGCTGCCTTCCTGGTTTTGGAACCATTAGTCCTGCTCCAAGCTTTGTGAGAGAGCTAGTTTCACCAGCTCCTCTCCATCACTGAGGATGAAACTCTATTGGAATAAACTGTAGCAAGCTAAGTTTGTAGGCGGGTTAGAGCTATATATGAAGGAAACATCTGGAGACGAGGAGCTACTGACAGCCAGAGTGGCCTTTGTTCTCATTGATTTTAAGAGACACTTGGGGCAAATAGATCTACAACTGCACCTATCATCCATGCTTTGGTTTGTAGAGACATACATACATTTCATACTGTGCAGGCAGTGTATAGAAGTAGAGAAGAATTTTGCAATCTGAGTGCTCTAGAGATTGAGATTTTGTAAATGAGTGAGCAAGTGGAATATATAAAGAGTGGGGCTCATTGGCAGAATGGACGAGGGGGTAGACAGCTGGCATGTTGCAAAGCCCAAGAATCCCAGCTCCAGTTTACAGGAAGCTGAACGGACTTTTCTAATATTGGGAAACTAATGTATTTGTTTTATATCTGAGCCAAATTTGTGGCATTACATGGGTTGTGAATCAGTACATAAAGTCAAATAGGATTGTGTAGAACTTAGCCACCCCTAAAAATATGATGAACTAAGTTCTTGTTTCCCGTGTCTGTCTCTTGAGCAGTTTCAGCCTGCTTGATACAAGAACTGGGAAATTAAACAAAATAAATGAGTCTAATGAATTTTTGCACTATAATCAACCTCCTAGGAAGGTAAATATAGTCAGGATAAACCTAATCAATGAGAGAGAATGAGACAGGATCTTCTTACAAAGGACATAAGCTGTGCATGTCTACTACACTCTATCCACTGAAGTGGATCTTGGTGAGTCGCTTAATACCTGGATTCAGATTCCTCTGATCAGCCTAATTTACTGACTTGTCTAACTGCAGCAGTGGAAAATTTGAATTCTGGACTTCAGCCAAGTGAATGAGATCATCACTCCTATAATCCTATAAAGTTCAAGCCTGGGTTTAATGAAAGACTTCACAAGTGTGTCTGCTTGTTATGATACTTCTCTCCCCTTCTTGCCTCTGCAGGCCAGTAAGAAATGCACCGTGATAGGTGGCTCAGGATTCTTAGGCCAACACATGGTGGAGAGGCTGCTGGAGAAAGGCTATACAGTCAATGTGTTTGATATTCAAAAGGGGTTTGAGAATGATAAGGTGCAGTTTTTCCTGGGAGATCTCTGCAGTAAAAAGGTATAGTATGAACAGAGCTGACAAATATAACACTGTGTTAGGTAACAAAAGTGAAATATATAAACTGAGCTTAGGATCTTGTAGAGGCACGTTCCCCAAGGTAATTGACTCAGTTTTTGTGTGAGACATGTAATGTGTTCCTTGAAAGGTGGGAAGGTCAACAATACAGCAGTATTTCGTGGAATGGTTGCAGTAAGACCTTGTGAAAGGATGGTCAACTATATCCCCTCTCTGCTAGTGCTGTCCTTCACTTCTCTTTCACCAGTGGCTCAAAATGATCCCTAAAGGAACACTCTTCTTGAACTCTTTGGAACAGTCCTTGGGTGTTTTAGCTTGTATCTGTACAAGGACAGGGCTTATACCTGCCTTCCAATGTGGAGACATGCATCACAATGTGTCTTGGAAATAACTTGCTGCATGTGTCTTTGAGAGGACTTCTCCACAGGCATGATGTACTCCTGAGGGATGCACCATAAAGCTGGGCAGTAATGTTGGGATATGGGAGTTAAATCCTTGGAAGGGGTTCTATGCTGAGTTTTTAACTCCTATCTGAGGCCTGCACCTGACTAGCTGGGCGTGGCTAGTCTCCAAGCCTTGGGAAGCTTCTGGATTTTTTTCCTGGGGGGTGAGGGGGAAGGGAAACAAATGGAGCTTCCTGCCTAGCAGAAAGAGGTCTGGAGATACAAGAGCTGGTCCTGTATCTCGACTCTTCAGCTTCATGAAGATGATGTGGCTGTTATGTTTCACAAAACAAAATGTGGGTATGTGTGTGTTCATATAACCTACACAGTTTTCAAATGGAAAGCACTCCTGGTGTTTTCACTGGTGCCTTGCCTCATCTGTCCCCCTAGGACCTGTTTCCAGCTCTACAAGGTGTGACAGTGGCTTTTCACTGTGCTTCACCAGCACCTTCCAGTGACAACAGGGATCTGTTTTACAAGGTGAATTTTATGGGGACCAAAACAGTCATTGAAGCCTGCAAAGAAGCTGGGGTTCAGGTAAGAATAGAACAGCATATGGGAGGGGCATGAGATGCTGAAGTCCTGATATAAGGCTATCGAGTAATAGCAGCGTTAAAGAAATGTGAACTTAATGACTCCAGTAGTAACTGTAAGACAACTGCACCATTTTCCCCTTGGTCTTTCCAACATCACATGAGCTTTTTATTTCAATTTCTGCCTATTGAAATCCTCGAGCACTGGATGAATGAGAAACTTTATTTTTTGGTGGAAGGAAGGTTGCTTGTGAAATACAGCCACTGTACAGTTTCTGGGCGGAAATACAGAATTACTAAAACAATACACAGAATTAAATGATGCATGTCAAGTATGGACTCCTGCCCCACAATTGCTTTCTTTCTGTAATAGACTGCTGGGAGGAAAATAGGCCATGCGTTGTTTACCTTCAGGCTTCAGATTGGGATTCGTCAGAACAGGGAGTACATTTCAGTCTAGAACTTGTTAGGCAAAAAGTAATGTCTCTTTTAAATTGTAAAAAATTAAAAAGTCACATTTCAGAGGGTAATTTGATGATATTTCTGATCATCTGTATATCTTTGACTTCCCATTTCAAATCTGCTGGGCTATATCATATTCCAACAAATGCAGCATAAAAATCTTTTTAAAGATACTTTAACGACTAGCAAATACCAATGTGTGCTTTTTTAAGAGGTATTAAGAGTTGAAATGTGCCAGGAAAACAGGCTAAGTGGGCATTCAAGTTCTCCTTGGAAACTATTTTTCTCTCTTGATTGACAGCACTGGAAATTTTCTGAAGTGTCCACTTCACCTGTTTCTGAAACATTTTGTTACTTCAGTAGGATTATAAAATCCTTAGAGTAGGGTATATTATGAGAAGTTTGTTGTCAGGCAGTTTGCAGTGGCTCATGACCATGAGTTTCTACCTCAGGGCAGACTGTCAGAACCAGGGGAGATACCGCAAACTGGTGGTCTATTCTATAATTAGATTTCACCAAGCCAGTAACAAATGTGAACTCCTGAATCACTGTAACAGTTTTAGCATAGAGTCAGGCAGTCCTTTTACTCTCCAGTCTATCTTGCCACCCAGACAAACTGGACTTAGTGATAAATGGTTATGTATACCAAAAGTCATACCATATTCACATTGCTTCCAATCCCAAGAGACCAGTTACTTACCCCAAATCAATTGGTACCCTAGATTTTACACCAAAGACAATGTTTGTAGCTAATCTTGTAATAAGCTATCTAAAGGTTTATTAACTGGGGGGGGGGAGTTAGTTACAGCTTAAAGCAAGCAAATGTATACACACAAATGACTTACCATCTAAATTCTAAGAGCGACAGAGTTGTAGTGTCTTTCAGAGCAGACCAGGAGGCAGCCTCTGGGAATCTCTAGCTTCAGTTTGGTAGCTCTGGCCCTGTGAGAGTTCAAACTGCAAAAAGAGAAAATCTTCCTGTGACTTTGTTTGTTTTATTAGAATTTCCCAGGTGCAATAGGGCCATTAACCAGTCCGTAGTATTGTGATGTTCCTTGATGGCCCATCTGTTTTTGATAGTCCTTTGGGATGATTGGGTTCACAAGTTCAGAGTAAATATTTTCAAAGTTATAAAACAAAACTCATGCATTTTCTTAGTATGGAATACCAACATTACAAGTGAGATTAATGCATGCAAAATTTTACGAGCATTTCTTAGAGGCTAAACATTAAATACATTCTTATAAGATAATACCTGTTTCGAGCAAAACGAACAAACAGGTGAACTGGTCTGGTCTCCAGCTATGAGTTTGTCAGTTCTTAGCTAATGCCTGCAGCATGGGCAAGAGCTGGCATCTGGTTTGCCAGCATCACATATGTATAATGAGACGTTTATGTATATTTTGTTTGCTTTTTCTCTGTGTATTTAAAAATTAATAAACAGTTCATAGAAATAAATACATTCCTTGGAATAGGGACTTCCTCTGATTTTTTCAGCAATGTGCTATCTAATGGAGCTCAATTAAGAAAATGGAGTTTTTATAACCTGTAATTTTCAGATCACTTTCAATTAAAGCATCTCTAAAAGAAACTGCTGCATTCTCTGTAGAACTAGCCAAGAAGAAGCTAATCTTGTTCCTTCACATTGACTTTCCCTTCCATGCAGCCTTTGTAAACAATATATCTTTTGGCTTATCCTCTAATACATTGGTTCCCAAACTTTAACAGCCCGCAAACCCCTTTCACTAAATCGTGAAATCTCATGAAGCCCCTCCTAAAAATGAATATTTCCAGGGATTTAAGTTTAAATTTCCTCCACACTCTGTGGGTCTCCTGCTGCTGGACCCTGTTGACCACCCTGGTCAACTGAGCTCAGGCTGCAGGTCCCGCTGACCTCTAGGGCTTGGGCTGCTAGCCCCAACTGCCCAGCCCCTTCTCCCTGGGGCTCGGGCTGCCAACCCCGCTTGGAGTGCTGGGTTTCAGGCTGCTGGCTCCCCTGCTCATGGGGCAGGGCTCAGGCTGTCAGCCCCAACTGCCCTGTCCCACTCTTGGGCTGTCTGCCCTGCAACCGGGTCCCACCTGGTGCCTCCAATGCCTGGGGTCCTCGGGTTGCCATTAGTGAAATTTTTCTGGCGAACCTTCTGTAACGTTCTGCGAACCCCAGTTTGGGAACCACTGCTCTAATACATTACTTTTCTTCCATAACCATTGTCAGAAACTGGTGTTAACCAGCAGTGCCAGTGTAGTCTTTGAGGGCACAGACATCAAGAATGGAACAGAAGACCTCCCTTATGCAAAGAAGCCCATTGACTACTACACAGAGACCAAGATCCTACAGGAGAAGGTATACAGCACCGTGCTGCTAATGCTATCACTCTCTGGGCTTAAACCAGCATTTCTTCTTTGAGTGATGGTCCCTATGTGGATTCCAAATGTGGGTGCTCATGCACGCCATATGCTGGAGCCGAAACTGTTCATAGTAGTGTCAGTTGACCTGCATGACCCATGCTGAGGCTTTAAGAGGTTGCGTGGGTCAACACCGCTCCAGTTCCCTCTTACCGCTGCATCGCCAGAGTTGGAATCTCTGTTCCTCGGTGCTCTTAGCTTAATAAGAGACAGCTTCTGTCCATTGTACATAGTTTTTTCTCCTTAGTTAGTTTTTCGTAGTGTACTTATTTGTTTATCATTAGTTGGTTAGCTTTTTCCCCTAGACGTCTCCCCTCTGGGGACTTTTTGCCTGGCAAGCTGGGTTCAAATACTGTGCTTCATGCCTGCAATCCTTTTCTGTGAGTGACGAGCACCAACATTGCTTTGGCGAGGCTCATATTGCTGCCCACAGCTCTATTTGTCGATCATTTCTGTCGCGAATCTGCAAGGCCAGAGAACGTCACCGCCACAAAAACCTCATGGAATAGGCAATGCAACACAACCATGTGTGCTTCCGGGATCCACAGATCTGCTGGAACGGGGTTCAACACTGGCAGTGAACACCTCTCCAGAGCCATCCCGCCCAGCACCAGCTGCATAAAAAGCACACTCATGGGCATAAAGATAGCTCCCTGATGGCGACTGCCTCCAAGCACAGTGTTGTCTCCCTGAGCCATGCCAGGTCGGGTGAGAAGTTGCTCGCCAACTCAGACACTCCAGTTCCAAAGAAGTCCCACTCTGAGCACGAGTCTAAGCCCTGCCGCCGGCCATGGTGTCTGGCCCACCACTGTCGCATCAGGCTCTGTTCAGTCTGCTGGGTCTATCCAGATATACCTACCCAGTACCATGCATGCCAGGACACTTGTCTCCCATTACCCCAAACTTATGCTGCTGTTCGCAGTCTCCCTGCCCTGTCCCGGGACCTCTGTCACTATCTGCCTACCATTCCCCCTGGACGAGCTGCTCCTTCTCCAACCTTCTGTTCCGCTCTTCTACACTGGGCCCCTCTGCAGAGGAGCCTCTGTTGCTCCTGGTCTGTCCTCTCACACCAACGGTGCCAGCAGTTCTGACGGCTCTGCCCCTACCAGACCTGTCTTCTGAATCTAAGTGGTCTTCCAAACTGAACACTGCATTCTCGCCTGCACGGTCCTACAGCCCGGACCTTCGGTGCCATCCATACCCTCCCGCATACACCCCACTGGCCGATCCATAGTACCATTATGCCCGAGCACTACCGCCGCCTGGCGACTCATATGCTGGGCCATGTGAAAGCCCTACCATGACTGTGGCATGCCACCTCACTTGTGACACTGTCCATCCCCAATGCACGTGGCCCCTTCCTCCATCTTTGAGGACCCACAGGCTGTCCGTGTTCCGGCGGCACTGGTGTTACTGACTGTGACCTCATCAACCGCAGTCCATACGGGCGCTTCCTAGTCTCCAGATGATGCCATCATCCCTCCTACACTCTCACCTCCTGCAGACCTAGTGTCGTACTGGGACTTATTTTGATGTCCAGGACCTGCAGGATCAATTCTTGGATATCCTACGATCCCCTGGACCCTTGCATATTTCCCTCCCGATTCACAACGCACTCTTACAACTGTTTAGCACATCCTGGCCTCCTGTGCCCCAACACCGAAGCGGGTGGAATGCTGCTATTGCATTCCCTCTAAGAGCATGGACTTTCCTTTCACCCACCCACTCCCTAATTTGCCAGTGGTCCAACCTGCGACTGAGCGTGCCCGGCATCAACACCTGCTGTCCACATCCCTGATTGGGCTGCCAAGAAGCTGTACCTCATGGGCTGCAAGGTCTACTCCTCTGCTGGTCTTCAATTCTGCATCATCAGCTACCAGGCCATCTTGGCCAAGTATGACTTCCTGTCACAGTCCACGCTTACAGACTTCCAGGCCTTCCTTCCCCCAGAGAAGCAACAAAGACTTCTGATGCCAACTGGATGAAGGCAAGTTGGTGGCCAAGGTTGCTGTCCAGGCTGTGGTTGATGCTGCCAATACTGCCACCAAAGCCACCGTCCTGCTCGCTAGCATCCAGGGTCATCCCTCCCTGGGATTCCTGGCTTCACTCCAGTGGCTTCCTGAAAGAGGTCCAAACCATCCTTGAGGACCTCCCCTTTGACAACCATAAGTTGTTCAGCTACAAAGTGGATGAGTCCCTACACTTCTGTGCCACTCTCCAGTCCCTGGACCTTTATCCCCCCCACCGCTGCCCATTATCAACAACATTCCTCCTTCCATCCCTGCCCTCAGACCACGTACCAGCCTTACCACCAGCCCTATTCTTAGCTCCCACAGCTTCATCTGTCTCCAGCATTCCTCAAAGCAGCCTTTTTGACTCCTTCCCTGAGATCCATGAACCTTCCCACCACCTTCCTGCCACTACAAAGGTGATTTTTGGGGGGTCAAGATTACCAGCGACTGCTGGGTGCTGGACATTGTTCATTGGGGGTACCTGATTGAGTTTCTCTGCTTCCTGCCCATCCCGGAGCACCCTGCCACATTGTTGCACTCTCCCCTTCTCCAGAAGGAAGCATATGCCCTCCTTCTCACCTCCTACAGAAGGAAGCATAAGTCCTCCAACTCAAGCACTGTCGGGGCTTCTATTCCCCTTATTTCTTCTTTTCGAAGAAGGGCGGTGACTTTGGTCCTACTTTGGACCTCAGCCTTCTGAACAGATTTATCTGCAACTTCCGTTTCCTCATGACTCACCCTCCCCCTCATTATTTCCTCCTCCTTCTCACCCCCCCCCCCCCCGTGGAGCTTGGTTCACAGTATGAAGGCATCCTTTTATTTATATTTCCATATCGACGTCCACCCTGCTCATCGTAAGTTCCTCCGCTTCACAGTCAAACGTTCTCACGATCAGTTCCAGGCCCTACCCTTTGGGATTGCTAATGCCCCCCACGTCTTCACAAAGGTCTTTGCCCTCATGTGAGCTCATATTCACTGCCTGGGCCATTCTGTGTTCCCATGCCTAAACAATTGGCTCTTCATGGCATCATCCCAAGCCCATCTCACCACTATTCAAACCTTGCATGCCCTCCTCGGCGCTCGAGGGGTTTGCATCAATGAGGAAAAGTCTATCTTCACCCCTTCCTGTTCCCTCACCTTTATAGGTGCTCATCTGGACGCTGTTGCGGCCTGCACGTACCTTCCCTCAGAATGCTTCACCACTCTCACCACCCTCCTGCCGCCACCAGTGTACCCACATCTGTCTTGCCTCTCCCTTCTGGGTCATATGGCGGCCTGCACCTCCATTACCCCATACACCAGTCTCCATTTGTGCTGCCTCCAACTGTGGCTCCGGTTCTTCTACAACCTGCACTTCGACCACCTCAACAAATGGGTCTTCATTCCCCCACCAGTTCTTGCCTCTCTCACCTGGTGGCACAATCCAGCTACAGTTTTGGCTGGTGTTCCATTTGCACCTCCCAAACCACACCTTAATCTCACGACAGATGCTTTGCTTGTTGGCTGGGGTGCTCATCTAGACGACCAAGTGGCTCAGGGTCTCAGGTCACCCAGGGAGGCGCGGATGCATCTCAGCATCCTAGAACTGCAAGCCATTTGCCTTGCCTGCCGGCCTTCCTACCTCTCTTTGGATCCTGCTATGTACATCTGCTGTTGGACAACATGGCTGCTGTGGTTTATGTCAACAAGCAGGGTGGAGCCCGATTTCCCCCTCTCTCTACCAAGGCCATCCTCCTGTAGAACTGGTGCCTCCAGCACGACAACATGTTGCAGGCAGTACATCTTCCCGGCACCAGCAACTCCATGATAGACCTGCCCAGCTGCTCCTTCCGTGCCAATCACAAGTGGGAACTTTACAACTCTGCTCTCTGGTCCCTTTTCTGCCTGTGGGGCATGCTGATTTGGGACCTTTTTGCCATGCCAGAAAACCACAAACTTCCCCTCTTTTTTGCTCCAGAGGCACTCTTGGCCCAGGCTCCTAGGGCAAGGCCCTCCTCGCTCCCTGGACCCACAGCCTATGCTATGCATTCCTGCCTATTTCCCTACTTCCCCAAGTCCTCCGCAAAGTACGGCGAAATTGTGCAACTCTTCTCTTCAGAGTTCCCTCCTCACCTCGCCGGTATTGGTACATGGCTCTCCTCCACCTATCTGTTCACCCTCAGATACGTTTTCCGGACATCCCGAATCTCCTCACACAACATGGCTGACTGTACCATCCCGACCTGGGTCCTTTCCACTTCACGGCCTGGTATTTGTTGAGGCTTATGTGTAGACAACACATGTTCCTCTCCTGTTCGTGGCATCCTTTCCCAGAGTCGCCACCCATCTACTAGGGCATGTTACCAAGCTAGCCAAAAGGTGCCGTTTTTTGTTGCCTGGGCACAGCACCGTTGGCTCCCCTTGGACTATTTCCGTTCCTGCCATTCTGGACTATCTCCTCCACCTCCATCAGTCGGGCCTTGCCCACTCTTCTGTCTGTATCCACCTGGAGGTGCTCAGTGCTTCGATTTCTCCATCTTCACCCACCCGACTACCTCCTCCTCTCTTTTGGAGCTTTCTCAACTCCTTCCCCACCATATGAAAGCCTACTCCTACCTGGACCTTAACCTCATCCTCTGAGCCCTCACCAAACCACCATTCGAGCCACTTGCAACATGCTCCCTCGCCCACCTCTCCATGAAGGTGATCTTCTTAGTGGCCATCACCTCTCTAAGGCGAGTTAGTGAACCTAGCAGCCATGATGGCGGGACCCCCTTTTACTGTTTTGCACAAGGATAAGTTCTCCCTTTTGTCTCCATCCCAAATTCCTCCCCAAAGTTGCTTCCCCATTTCACCTCAACCAGTCTGTGCACCTTCTACCCTAAACTGCAGGCCTCTCCCCAGGAATGGGTTTTTCACACCCTGGATGTTTGCCACGAATTGGCTT